CTTTTTCTTTACTTTCTTTATTTTTTTTTCAATCTGTGTTCTTTCACAACATGACTAACGGAAATATGTTTTGCATGACTGCACATATGCTGTATCAAACTGCTTGCCTTCTCGGTGGGGGGGAGGGCAGGAACTTAGAACTCAATTTTTTTAAATGAATTTTCAAAATTGGTTTTATGTGGAGTTGGGGGAAAAAATAAAATTCAGATTGGTCAGCTGGATTGAACCCCCTTAACGTTTGGATGCCTGGGGCCCGACAAAGTCAGGAATCAAATAGAAGTTTAATTTCAAAGTGGGGGAACCTGAGGCAGTGTGGGAAGATCTCAATACTTAAACAATGGCTGTACCATTGTTGACCCCAATTAGGGGTGTCAGCAACAATGAGATAAGTTTGATTAACATGAGTACTTGTCTGAGCATGTCCAGTGCTTGTCGGGAGTTCAGAGAACACCTTGTACTGGTTAAAGCAATACAATAATTATGTGATTTTGCCAGAGAATTGTTCTTATGCCAAGCTCAGGGCACAACTTGACTGCTGGACCTTAGCTCTGGAAAACACTGTTATCGCCTAATATCTTGACAATGGGTTAGCCCAGGGATGAGAAACCAAGGCCTTGAGGCCACATGTGAACCTCTAGGTCCTCAAGTGCAGCCTTTTGACTGAATCCACATTTGTTCTGTAAAGGCCTCATGTGGCCTCAAGGCTACAGGTTCCTCACTCCTGGTTTAGCCATTTAATATGGAAGGCAGCTAATAAGATGAGTTTTGAGGTAGCTATATGTCGGTTTATTTCAAAGAAAAGAAAATTTTGTAGAGGACGTTGCCTTTTGGTTCCTCCTCTCCCCTATTTTACATCTCAGATCCTTTGACATCATTCCCCATTTCCCTCTCATCTCTGATGAAAAGGTAACTTCTGTCTGCAAGGCCAACCCATCAATTTTGTGCCCTTGATCTCATCCTCTTCCATCTCCTCCAGTAAATAGGCTCCCTCAATCACACCCTCCTATTCTATAATGTTCAGTTTTCTATCTACTGACTCCTTTCCCCACTGCCGACAAAAATTATTTTTTTTTACCTGACCCTGCCATCCCCTTAAGTTGTTGTATATCTCTCTGCTCTTTCTTATCCTAATTCCTTAAAAGAAGCCATTTAAATTTATTGCCTCCATTTCCTTCTGAACACTTGCTTCTCAACCCTATGCAAGTTGTGTCACTCAATTGAAACTAACCTCTTTAAAGTTACCAGTGACCTCTTAATTGTCGAGATCAACTGCCTTTCCTGAGTCCTTATCCTGCTTTCCCCCCTCATTTAACACAATTGACCACCCTCTCTTCAGCTCCCATGAGTTCCGTAATCATCTTCCAGTTCTTCATAGCCAGCCCCAATCCCTCTCCTGAATTCTAGCCCTACATCACTAGATGCCTGTTGGCTATTACCAACTCTTTTCTATATTCAGCTGAGACTCAGTATGTCAGAAATTGAACTCATTGTCTTTCCCTCCCAAAACCTATCTCTTCTTCCAAATTTGTTTTTGTTGTTGTCATTCCGGTCAAGCAGGTTCGCAGCCTGACAGTAATACTTGGTTTTTCTCTCTCCCTCTGCCCACCTACTTAAGTACTTGCCAAATCTTACTGTTTCATGTGACCCAACATCTCTTTCATCTTTCCACTCATATCACAGTCACTCTAGTTCAAATTCTTCTATTCAAATTCTTTCACTTGCATTTTTGTAACAGCCTTCTAATTGGTCTCAGGTCTCTCCCTTTTTTTCCTAGTCTATTTTTCACACAGTTACCAAAGTGATGTTCCTAAAACACAGGTCTGAATATATTAAATTTCTTCTGCTCAGAAAGTTCCAGTGGTCCTTTGTGTCTCTAGAATAAAACAGACTCCTCTTTTTGACATTTAAAACCCTTCCCAGTTTAGCTGTAGCTTATGGTTTTGGACTTATTTCACATTACTCCCCTTTACATGTTCTATATTCTAGCAAAACTGTACTACTTAAAATTTCTTGTATTCTGTCTCCCTTCTTTGTGCACTCTTCTCATCTCTTTGATGCCTACCTTCTTTCTGAGAACCTGTCATGTGCCATCTTTACCACATGAAGCCTTTCCTGACATTCCCTGCTGCTAAATGCCTCCCCCCCCTTAATATTCCCCCAAACTCTTTATATTTGCTTATGTATTTACATCTTCATCTTGATCTTGACCCTTGAGGGCAAGGAATATTTCTTTTTTGTCTTTGCATCCCAAGCTGTATACAAAAGAGATTGGGTGTGCTTGACTGATTAACTCCCAGATTTATTTTTTTAATGCTTTTTATAGTTATTTTGAATGAGATTTCCTTTTCTGTCGTTACCTCCTGGATTTTATTTTTGTCTTATATAGAAATGTTGATTTTTGTGGATTTGTTTGGGATGTTGTTACTTTATTGAGCTATTAATTGTCTCAAAAGCTTCCTTACTGATTCTTTGGAGTTTTCTAAAAACTGCTATCTGCTAGTAAGTAGAGATAATTGTGTTTTCTCTTTGGCAATAGTTTTGCCTTTAATTTCTTTTTCTTTTCTTTTTACTAGATATAGCTTTTCTAGCATGATGTCAGGTAACAGTAGGGAAAGGGAAATTCTTGCTTTTTTCTTGTATTTATTAATAAATCTTTTATTATTCTTCATAAATTATCCTCTTAATAAAAACTCTTAATCATATTTTATCGATCCTTTTGTACCTATACTTTGTTTTATTTTTTTTAAGCATAAATAATCCCTTTATTTTCTCAAAAGGCTTTTTCTGTAAAATACAATCATATTGTTTGAGGTGTTTTTTTATATATGAAAAATTTTGTTAATTCTTTTCCTATTGTTACCAAACTTATTTCATATGATCCCCTTTCACAAACATCTGAAGTGATCTGCTGACTGTTCCCTGAATCATCCCGTGTCATCATCCAACTTTAAGCAGGTCTTAGGCTTTCTTCCATTAGAATACATTCTCTTTTCACCTACCCGCCTTAGAACTGTTCCCTTCAAGCCTAAACTCAGCTGCCACCTCCTGTCAAATGGCTCATCTGCTTTTTCATCTTCCCATCCCTTTTTTGAGTACTCATTCCCTCCTGAAATTATTTTATTTGTGTACATTCCATATTACCTGCAGTAGGATGTAAGAGCCTCCTCTTGTTTTTCTTTGTTCTCTCACTAGCTCCGTGTCTTATACGTAGTGGAAGCTGCTTGACAAAGTTTTTGTGAATAAATTCTTTTATTTCCAATTAAAATTTTGATATTGTGACAATTCCACAATCTCTGTCCTTAATCAGTAAATATTTATTCAGGGCTTACTGTGTGCCAGATACTGTATGGAGCATGGAGAATATAGAAAGAGGCAAAAGACAGTTCCTACCCTCAAGGCGCTTAAAATCTAACAGGAGAGACAACATGCAAACAAATATATACAGAGCAAGCTATGTACAGCCTAAAGAGGAAATCATTAACAGAGTGAAGGGACTGGATTTAAGATGGGCTTGAGAAAGGCTTCCTGTAGAAAGGGGGATTTTAAGTTGGGATTTAAAGGAAGCTAGGGAGGTCAGTAATTGGAACAGAAGAGGGAGAGAGTGTTCTAGCCAGAGGAAAGGCCCAGAGCTGAGAGATGGAGTGTCTTGTTCTTGGAACAACCAGGAGGCCAGTGTCACTGGATTGAAGAGTACATGTAAAAAAGTAAACTATAAGAAGGCTGTAAGGTAGGAGGGGCTAGGTTATGAAGGGCTTTGAATGCAAACAGAGCACTTCATATTTGCTTCTGGAGGCAGTGGGGAGCCACTGCACTTTATTGAGTAGGGGAATGACAAGACTGGACCGATCACTTTAGTGACTCAAGGGGGTGGATTAGAGCGGGGAAAGAAGCCTCGAGGGAGAAATGAGCATGTTTGTAGTCAGCAGGAAGTGAGCCAGTAAAGAGGAAAAGATTTAAAATAAGTTAAAGAGTGAGGCTAACAGAAGGGGCAGTCTGTTGGAGGAGATAGGGTGGAATGGTATCACTTGAACAAGTAGAATGGTTGTTCTTGGTAAAGAGTAAGGCCACTTCATCATGGGAAACAGAAGTGAAGGAGGAGAAAATACCTTTCCAGGTTTTGATGTTCTCATTTGTTTTAACTCCTCATGTGCTTTAACTCCAGCCCTCCATTCCCCAGCACTAAAGCAGATTTTCAGTATGCTAGTGGTCTGAATATTCTTAAACATTTTCCTAGCTTTTGTGTAATTTAGAGTGTAAGGAAATCTCCTGGTCTAGCAGACTTAACAAAGTCCTGGAGAGGAGTAGAGAGAAAAGAATTTCCTTCAGAATTACAGATAATTATTTATTTTACCTTAAGAATTAGCAGATTGAATTTTTTAGGAATATGAGATTTATTTGGAACCTAGGTCTAACAGTCTTGATTTATCCATAATATTAAATTCATAGATAGACAAACAGAAAGCAAACTCAGGAGGGCAGCAGACAGGAAAAAAGAAAGCCTATTCTATTGATAAAGGCTAGATTTTAAAGGAATTCTTAGCCTTTCTGTGGTGTGTATGTATGTGTGTATGTGTGATGATGATGATGATGATGATGATACATTTGTGCCAAGAAAATGAACTCTTTATGGTTATTGGCATTAGTAGATCCAGTTATTGAGGTAATTATATTCCTTCTATTAAGTTTCCTTTTTTAACTGTGAGATGATTATTTTAACTTTTATGGAATGGAACAACAATAGCTTTTAGAGACCATAACCCTATGACTATACCTCCAGTGATATAGGAAAAGGATTTTTGTACATATAAGTAGAGAGAGTATGTGTACAGAACTGATAGCCTAGACAATTTGTTTGTAATATAAAATCAGTGTTAAATATTGGTGGGGCTGTAGAGAAAAATAATGAGTATTTTTGTTGGTCCTTGATAAATGTAAAATTCTACGCTTATTTCCTCTTTTGTTCCAACCTCAACTTCCTTTTTCCTTTTTTTTTGTTACAGATCACACATCAGTTGGTGGTCTAGGAGACAGTTTTTACGAATACTTACTGAAAGCATGGTTGATGTCAGATAAAACAGACATTGAGGCAAGGAAGATGTATGACGATGCAATTGAGGTGATTATGACCACTCTTTACCTTGATAACAAACTAAAATAATATCACTTTTTAATAAGATATGTCCTTCTTTCCTCCCTCCCTTCTTCCCTCCCTTCCTTCCTTCACATGTCCTTTATAGTTTGAGTATTCATAATATTTAGAATAGCTTGGTTGTTCACAATTATTCTTTGAACAATATTGCTGTTAGTGTATACAGTGTTCTCTTGGTTCTGCTTACTTCACTTTTCATTGTTTTATGCAAGTCTTTCCATGTTTTTTCTAAAATCAGCCTGCTCATCATTTCTTATAGCATAGTAATATTCCATCATAGTCATATTCCACAATTTATTCAGCCATTCCCCAGTTGATGGCACCCCCTTAGTTTCTAGTTCTTTGCCGCCACAAAGAGAGCTGCTTATAAATATTTTAAAACACATAGGTTCTTTTAATTTTTCCTGATCACATTTAATAGTGGTATTACTGGGGCAGCTAGGTGGTGCAGTGGATAGAGCACTGGCCCTGGAGTCAGGAGGACCTGAGTTCAAATCCGGCCTCAGACACATAATATTTCTTAGCTGTGTGTGACTCTGGGCAAGTCACTTAACCCCAATTGCCTTGGAAACCCCCCCCCCCCCCCAAAAAAATAGTGGTATTACTGGGTCAGAGATTATACACAGTTTTATAACTCTTTGGGCATTATTCCAGATTGCTCTCTAAAATGATTGGATCAGTTCACAGTTCCACCACGAGTGTATTAGTATCTCAGTTTTTCTACATCCCCTCTAACATTTGTCATTTTCCCTTTCTATCATTTTAGCCAATCTGATAGGTGTGAGGTGATAACTCCAAGTCATTTTACTTTGTAATTCTTTAATCAGTAATGACTTAGAGCATTTTTTCATATGACTATAGATAGCTTTGATTTCTTCATCAAAAAATAGCCTGTTGATATCCTTTGACCATTTATCAATTGGGGAATGACTTATACATATTCTTATAAATTTGACAAAATTCTCTATGTTTTTCAGATATGAGACCTTTATCTGAGAGACTGTCTATGAAAATTTCCCCCCAATTTTCTACTTTCCTTCTAATCTTGGGTTATTTCACATCTCACAATGCTCTCTATCTCTTGTTTATTCATAAATTCTTCTTCTGTCCACAAGTCTGATAGGTTATATGTTCCATGTCTTCTAGTTTCCTCCTTTCTCTCTTTATAGCTCAGTCATGTATCCATTTTGACCTTATCTTGGTAAATGGTGTAAGACAGTAATATCATGAAAAGGCGGTCACAACTTCCCAAAATGTGAAAGCTAGGGTTATTACAAGGCAAATGAACATGCTTGTGGAACCCATGGAGTTCACAATCCACACCACAGTTTGCATATTTGTAACATTACAACAAAGGAAGAAGGAAGAAGCCAATCTCCACCAAAAGGGGCGGCGTGGTGTGGGAGGGAGAGAGGTGCAACAAAGATGGGAAAAGGACAAACCCTGTGGAGCAGGGTGATGAGTGATGAGCGAGGTTCCCTAGGGAGCCAATGGTCTGCTTATTTACAAGGGTCCCAGCTTCTCAGCCTAAAGCAGACTGAGCGCTATCTTTCTTGACTCCCAAGGACAGACAAAGGAGTACATTTTGGGATGCAAACAACAAATTATGTCAACTCAGGGTGGGGCCTCAGACTTGACACATTCAAGGCCTCCTGCATACTCTGGATCCAAAGTTTCTGGAAAACATGGCAACAGAAAAAGACAAGTTCAGGGGACCCCTTAACATTCCTTTTTAACAATCCATACTCATTTTCCGCCAGACTGTTTTCCTGACAATTTTTACCAAGTAGTTTATTCTTAACCTGAAATCTTAAATCTTTACATTTTTTTTTCTTTTTTTTTGCAATTGGGACTAAATGACTTGCCCAGGGTCACACACCTAGTAAATGTCAAATGTGGTCTGAGGTCGGATTTGAACTCAGGTCCTCCTGACTTCAGGGCCAGTGCTTTATCCACTGTGCCACCTAGTTGCCCCTCTTTACATTTGTTAAACATAGGATTACTATAATCATTTACTACTGTGTATTATATGAATAAGACCTTTTCAGTAACCAGGAGGGTACAGTTCTGGCTATTTTATATGCTACTGTGAATCGACTTGCATAGGATTATTTGTAGATAGATTCATAGCATCTCTCCTCTGCACATTGTGATGTTAAAGCAGAGCTTCGTAACTGAGATCCCACAGAGAGATTTCAGGGTGTTTGTACACTTTTTAAAAAAGTGTTTTAATAAACTACATTTCATTATAATTGGTTTTCTTTGCAATCTTAGGCATTTTGTTTTGTGCATTTAAAAACATTTTTCTGAGAGTCCATGCCACAAAGAAGGTTCAGACCAGGTATTTTAGGTTTTTTTGCTGCATGATCAGTGCTCTCTATACAAGGAGCACACAATTAAAATTGCTGCTTGACCAAGCAGGAGTCGTGTTTCAAAGCAAATTTTTAAGCATGTACTTACTTAAGTTTTTTTTTTTTTACTTTGTATTCCCTTATTATTATTTAATCTTCAGTACTTAGATAACTCCGTTATTTCATATAGGAATATATCTACACCATTACAGATCACAGTCCCCTGGTGGGCAGTCTTCATGAGCTGCTGCTGCCAAAATAAGAATTCATCATCACCTAGTAGTTGATGGGGAGCCTTTCTGGTCTCACCTGGGCTGACAACAGACACACTCTGCTTCTGGGCTCACACATAAGGCCTTCTTGGATCAGTTGTACCTGTCATACATGTAAGCCTTTGCTGGCATTAAGCTAGAGCCTCCACAGTTGCCTCCAAGACATGTTAGGGTTCCTGGCTAGTGACAATTTTTCATGGAAGATCAATTTAGCCGTCTTTGTTCAGTAGTGAACATGACGTGGTTTATCTGTAAAAACAGTATGGAATATGTTAGAGAGTTAAAAGTCTCCTCAGGTCCCTGATGCAAGCGCCCAGACCTGAGAAGTGAGTCCATGCTTTCATAGATGATTTCACTGTTCTTAACAATTTTTGTCGATTAGTGTGTCCTTTATTATTCTCTGCTTACTTGTATTTACATTTCTTCTTTCTTGAGAAATATTCCACACCTATTTTGTAGAACCTCAAAGATGTACAAAATCTTAGAGATAATATTGGCTGATTTTTTTTTAACCTGCCTACCCCCATAATTTCCAATTGAAGGAAGAACAGAATGAGATATTTTCTTGAAGACCTAAAATTTGAGTCTTCTGACCTGAAATGGGACAGTTAAACAGTCCTTGCCATGCACACGTCCATTGCTCCCATATTCTAAGAAGATCTGGTGTCATAGAAAGAGCCCCAGAGTTAGAGCCTGAAGATCTCTGTTGACCTCCCAGATCTGTTCCCACCCTCTAGCTGAATCGGGGCAATGGTATGGGGTTGGAAATTTACGAAAATTTTTGCTTGTTTTTTTAAACCTCTTAAGGACCCCCACCCCTACCGCCCAAAAAAGGCAAAAAGTGTCCTTTGAATTCCAGCGAAGACATTTTTTAGGCCAGGCCCAGCCGTCAATATATGATGCCAATTTTCATCCAAGTAGTGATGTAACTAACAGTGAGTTCAGTGTGACATTATGTAGATGCATAACTGGGGAGAAGCTTCTATACTTTGTAGAGGTGGAGTAAAGAACTGTAGAAGGAATTTCAGGAATCATGAAATAAGCTCTCCTTGTGTAGCGGTGGATTGATCCTAGTCTAGTCCGTGATCTATTTGAAAATGTTCCATCTAGTAATGGAAAGATACAAATTAAATTGTTGAAGTCTGTATTCGTATTCCAATAAAATTTACAGCAACAAAAAATCTGGAGCCGTAGCTGTGGCATCATCTTCAGTTGTCCACCTGCACCTTGTTCCCATGGCATTGGCCCTCTGCAGGAAGGAAGCAGTGGTGATCACCTCCCAGAATGGTGATTGATTGTGCTCCTCCCCTCAGTGAATTATGATACCCTGGTGTCTTCAGATGTCAAGGCTAAGTGCTACCTTCTTATCCTCCAGTTCATTAGTGTTCTCTTCCTCCTCCAATTATTTTTCGTTTACTCCTCTGTATATATATTACATTACCCTGAGGTCACTATAATTTCCTTGAGGGCAAGAACTTTTTTGTTTTTGTCCTTGTGACCCCAGTGCCTTGCACATAATGGACACTCTGGTCTCACCTCCACCTCATAGAATTCATTTTTTTGCGTTTCACACTTTAAAAAAAATTTTTTTTAAGATTTATTAATTAATTAATTTTATTTTCGTTTTCAGCATTCACATCCACAAGATTTTGAGTTCCTAATTTTCTCTCCATCTCGTTCCTCCCCCAACCCCAAGACAGCGTGCATTCTGAATGCTCTTTCACCTAATCTGCCCTCCCTTCTATTCCCCCTCCCCCTTCTCTTCTCCACTTCCTGTTCTCTTTTCCTGTAGGGCAGGATAGATTTCTATACCCCATTTCCTGTATATCTTATTTCCCAGTTGCATGTAAAAATAATTTTTAACTTTTGTTTTTAAAACTTTGGGTACTAAATTTTCTTCCTTCCTCCCTCCCCACCCACCCTCATTGAGAAGGCAAGCAACTTGATACAGGTTATACTTTTGTAGTCATGCAAAACACTTCCATAGTAGTCACGCTGTGGAAAACTAACTATATTTCCCTTCATCCTATCCCACTACCCCATTTATTCTATTCTCTCCTTTGACCCTGTCCCTCCTCAAAAGTGTATGCTTCTGATTACTTCCTCCCCCAGTCTGCCCTCCTCTCTATCATTCCCCTGCTCTCTTGTCCCCTTCCTCCTATTTTCCTGTAGGGTAAGATTGCTTTCCATACCCAATTGAGTGAGTATGTTATTCCCTTCTTAAGCCAAATCCGATGAGAATAATATTCACTCGTTCCCTCTCACCTTCCCCCACTTCCCTCCACTGTAAAAGCCTTTTTTTGTCTGTTTTATGTGAGATAATTTACCCCATTCTGCCTCTCCCTTTCTCCTTCTGCTAGTATAATCCTCTCTCACCCCTTAATTTTATTTTCCAGATAACACCCATTTATCTTCAACTCACCCTTGACCCTCTATTAATCTATCTATACATGTAATTTTTTTTTTTCACTCCACCTACCCTAATACTGACAAAGGTCTCATGAGTTACAAATATCATCTTTCCATGTAGGAATGTAAACAGTTCAGCCTTAATAAGTCCCTTATGATTTCTCTTTCCTGTTTACCTCTTCATGCTTCTCTTGAGTCTTGTATTTGAAAGTCAAATTTTCTATTCAGCTCTGGTCTTTTCATCAGGAATGCTTGAAAATCCTCTATTTCACTGAACGTCCATTTTTTCCCCTGAAGAATTATACTCAGTTTTGCTGGGTAGGTGATTTTAGTTGTAATCCTATCTCCTTTGCCCTCTGGAATATGATATTCCAAGCCCTGTGGTCCCTTAATGTAGAAGCAACTAAATCCTGTGTTATCCTGATTGTGTTTCCATAATACTTGAATTGTTTCTTTCTGGCTGCTTGTAATATTTTCTCCTTGACCTGGAAACTCTGGAATTTGGCTACAATATTCCTAGGAGTTTTCCTTTGGGGATCTCTTTCAAGAGGTGATTGGTAGATTCTTTCAATTTCTGTTTTGTCCTCTGGTTCTAAAGTATCAGGGCAGTTTTCCTTGATAATTTCTTGAAAGATGATGTCTAGGCTTTTTTTCTGATCATGGCTTTCAGATAGTCCAATAATTTTTAAATTCTCTGTCCTGGATCTATTTTCCAGGTCAGTTGTTTTTCCAGTGTGATATTTCACAATGTCTTCTATTTTTCATCCTTTTGGTTTTGTTTGACAATGTCTTGATTTCTCATAAAGTCACTACCTTCCAATTGCTCCATTCTAATTTTTAAGGAAGTTTTTTCTTCAGTGAGCTTTTCGACTTCCTTTTCCATTTCTAATCGACCATCCAGCTTGTCTTGGGCTGGAAATTTGCTTCACTCTGTCTTTTTGTGGGTTCTGCTGCTCTAGAATTTGTTTAGAGGCATTTTTTACAGGAATTTGGAGGGGTTTGGGGGAGAGCTCAAGCACGTCAGTGCTTTTACTCTGCCATCTTGGCTATGCTTTCCCCCCCCCACACACACACATGGAATTATTTAAAAGCCCAGCTTATGCTAATGCAGAAACTACACTTAATTGTAATGGATTGTTTTTCTTGTTATCACAATGAATGGGAGAATAGAGAGGATTTGGAACTGGGGGAAAAACAGAATAGAAAATTCTGCTTTAGAAAAAGGAATAAAATTTTAAAAATAAGAAAAGAAGGTATATCTCAGGTACCATCAGACCTTTCCCGATTACTCTCTTGTTATTAGTATATACTTTATTTTTTTACTTATGTCGGCATATATTGTATTCTCCTGTTCCTTGAGTGTGTGAACCAATTTTTTAAAATTATGTTTTATTTTCAGGTAAATATTCTGTGCCTCCTTCCTCTCCCCCCCGCCTTTATCCTCATTGAGAAAGCAGGAAAAACAAAAACTCTGTTAGAAATGGATGTCATTTGCGTATAATTTATATCTTCCCACCCCCACTCCACTTGCTAACATCTTTATTTAAAATGTCTTCCAGATTAATTCATCATCTGCTCTTACCTCACTCAGTCCTATACGACTAGGTATCTGACCCCATCACTGTTGAAACTGCTCTCTGGAAGATAATGATAGATTTCCTAATTGCTGAACCTAATTGCCCTTTTTTAAGTCCTCATCTTGTTTTACTTTTCTGTATCATTGTCACTCCTCTCTCTTGAGTCTTCTCTGCTTCCTTTGTTCTCTTCTGAACTCTTTAATGTAAGTGTTCCTATTAGGGGAACAAGATCATAGATTCCAGGTGACCTTCGAGTTCATCTCGTTCAAGCCTCTCATTTTATAGATGAGGAACTAAGACCCAGACACCAGGGGAGAGTTGCTCAGGGTTCTCTAGACAAAGAACCAATATCTGACCCTAGGTCATCTGACTCCCAGTTCAACTCTCTTTTCACATGTTCTTCTGCATCTTCTCCTTTGGTGTTCTCATGTGATTGCATAGCTTTAGCTATCCCTGTTACGCAGCTGATTCTCAGATGATTAAGTTTGAGCAGAGCAGGAATTGTCTTATCTGACCATATCTCCCCTAGTGGACAGCATGGGAACATGAGTTATTGCCATTATTATTGTCTTATGTATAGAATTGGCTTGAATATCAGTACATTTTTAGAATCTCAAAAATTATTCATTTTACAGGCCATAGAAAAACATCTTATTAGAACATCCAATGGGGGTCTAACATTTATTGGAGAATGGAAGAATGGACACTTGGAAAGGAAAATGGGTCATTTAACCTGTTTTGCTGGAGGAATGTTTGCTTTGGGAGCAGATGGTTCCAGAAAGGATAAAGCTGGGCATTATTTACAACTTGGAGCAGAAATTGCACATACATGTCATGAGTCATATGACAGAACGGGTAAGAAATTTCATTAACTTGGTTATTTACTATATAATATTTTTTATAATCATGATGTGCCCAGGAAAGCTAACTGAATACCCCAGAACTACCAGGAATACAATTATACATTACTTTTCAAATAGCAATATTCTGAAGTTTTGATTTCACTTCATATTTTTATAGTTGCTGCTTTTGGGACTGGGATTTTGTGAGGAGTTAGTTTTTTAGATAAGTTTACAAGTTTTTGCATTAATTTGAATCTTTTTTATATGTAAAGTGTTTATTACTTTTATAATCCAGTTTCCTTTTTGTGGGGGGGGGGAGGCTGGGCAATGGGGTTTAGTGACTTGCTCAGGGTCACACGGCTAGTAAGCGGCAAGTATCTGAGGTCACATTTGAACTTGGGTCCTCCTGACTCCTGGGCCGGTGCTCTATCCACTGTGCCACCTAGCTGCGCCCTATAATTCAATTTCCAAAACAAAGAATCATTGGGTTGCAGCCTGCTGCTCAATTACTTTTTAAAGGTTCTTGTTATTGATTCCACCCTAATTAATACATCTAATTCTCAGTTATTCATGTGAACACAATAAGAGAATAGTCAGAAAGTGTGTTTGAGGGAGGTATACGTAGCATAGTTCACCTGAATCTGAACCTAGGTTACTTGAATCATCTTAAAATCCAAACACTGTTTTAGCTTCTTCCTACACAAAACCAATTATGTTGATAAGTATCAAAACCAGTTTAACATTAATTTCCTCACTTGGCCTTTGTCCGTTTCTTAGAGCAAGTAGTAATAAGCAACAAACTACTCAGAAGATAGTGAGAAACAAGGGTTCTGAATCATCTATCCCTGGTTATTGTGTTGATTTTTTTTTTTTTTTGGTTAATCCACTGATTACTTTCTGTCATTGCTAGTTCCTTTGACTAAAAAGAAAGTACCCAAGTGGGATGTAACTAGAGGCCACTGTACCTTAATTTTTGTGCTGGCTGTCGTCACACCTTGGACAAATCACTTAATCTCTCTGCCTCCTACTTTGCTCATCTTTAGAGAAATAGAATCGGATTAGATAATGAATTAGCAGTTATAAGATACCAATGATTTGCTAGGTACTGGGTCAGGCACTGGATCTCTAAGATTTCCTTCTAGCCCTCGGAATGACGGCCAAGGCATGCCCTTTGTTTTTACCTTTCTTTGTGTCCTGGAGCTTAGTATGGTGCTCAGGCCATAGCACTGTGGGACATAAACACTTAAGAAGTGCTTGCTGACTGACTGAGGTGCTAATTTTCTGAATCATTTTGACAAAACACTTTCATGACAATTCAGACAATGGAGTAATATGATAATGAAGGCATTAAAAGGCAATGGCTAGTAACTTTTGTTTGAGAATTTCATAAATTCATGTTTTGAGGTTGCTTTTGAACGCACATATGGCAGAAATATGATTTTATTTAATCCTAGTGTGTGATCTTTATAAAATATAGTTGGAATAACAAGTTAGCCTCATTTTAAGTATACTCAATAAAGTATACCTTGAATAACCAGATTGCCTCATATTTCACAGTTAAGGCTGAAGCCTTTTATTTATGATAAAGTGTTAAAGCTCATGAAGAAATTTCCTTCAAATTATTTCTTATAGTCAAGAACTCTCTTTTAGGCAAAATACCACCAAAGTGAAAGGAACTAGGATCCTGCTGAGATGTTACTGTACTGTGTGTTTTCAGATGTTGTTATCATACTATATAAATCAGTTATAAAAATTGTGATTGGCTTGGTTTTGAAACATAAGTAACCTAGCCATATGTTTACTAGCTGGATGTATGTTTATATTTCATTTGCATATAGTTCAATTCCCCTTATCAAAACACATCAATATAATATATGAAGTAATAGCTCACATGCCTGTTTTCAAACTTTGACATGACAGTTAACTTATTGATAACCATTATTATAAAATTACATTACTGCCTTTTATATTTGATAATGACAGTACTGGTTGTGATTACTATTTGTTTTTGTAAGTAAAGATTGATGCAAAAACCATTCTTAACACTGTGAATAAATGATTGTTGTTATTTAATTTGTAGCTGTTATCCGCATGACTTGTCATTGTTAGACACCCCTTTTTTATTTTCTGGCCTTTTGATTCATCTTTGACTCAAAACTTTTGATTAAATAGAGCTGTCTTTATTTTGATTGCTGCACATCATATCCATGACACATTTTTTAAAGATGTGTTTTCGTGCATCCTTCAAATGCTTTTTTTGTCCTTTTGTGAAGTTATGACATTTCTGCTTACACTGCATTAGTTTTCTGAATATACATTGCTTTGAGCTATTTTCTCTCTCCAGCCCAGCAGAATTGTGTTGGGGTGGATATCACTTAGGGTCATGTAGATTTACAAGGGAAGGTGACTGGAGAGGCTGATTCTAGTCAAGTTCCCTAATTGTCCTGATGAGCCCCAGAGAGGTTCAGTGATTTGCCCAATTTCTCTCTCTCTCTCTCTCTCTCTCTCTCTCTCTCTCTCTCTCTCTGTCTCTCTCTGTCTCTCACACACACAGACACACACACACACACACACACACACACAATCAACAAAGAATTTAAATCCAAATCCTCTAAAGACACTGAACTCTATGTTGAGACTGACTCTGTTCTAGGACCTCAGTGTTGATGTTCCTGTCCTATTTAATATTCACAGGATTTATGTCTAACATTGTTGAAACTATCTGTGGGGCTGACCATGAGGTTGGTAGTAGTTCCAGATATCAAGAGTTAGGAAAATCTCCTCTTTTATATACTTTCAATGTTTCTGGAAAATTTCTGGGAAAAAACTCCCATCTTCCATTGTTTCAAAGGACATACTCAAGTTATTCTGGGCTAGTATAGTCTTATTGTATGTAGTATTGAAATATGTGACTTTGTGCTTGACACCACCAACAGAAATTATTATCCCTCTATAATATAGTATCACAAAAATCACATGATTTCATATTATAGAGATGATTCTTGTTCAGGTACCTACAAGTGGACTAAATGACTTTAGTCTTCCTTCCACCTCTGAGACGCTGATTTGAATTTTAGTGCTGTAAAATTATTATCAGAGCCCAAGAGCCTACACCAAGCTAAGGCTATTGATGAAAAGTAATTTTAGCAATTGAGAAGAAAAAAGTATAATGAAAAAATTGATCAATCATTACTAAGGGTGTTTGGGATGATACTAAACAACAATGATGAGCAGGCTGAACTATTTATTTAACTTTTATTTTGCTTCTGTTTTCTCTGCCAAGGAGAATGAACTTTGGACTGGGAAAGAGAGAACAAAAATAATTAGCAGGGAATTAAAACTGAGGATAAGTGAGGAGATCAGAGTACCTAGCTGTTCTCGTGGATTTCAGGTTTCTAGGGCTAGATGAACTATATCCTAGGAACTTGAGTTAGCCTGTGTGATTGCTCAGCAGTTGTCAGTGATAGGCAAATCGTAATACAGAGCTTTGTCGCAGGACTAGAAAAGGACAAATATTACATGGATGCTGAGGAAAAGAAGGATAGTGGATTCTGTAGTCCACAGGCCAGCAAAATAGACTGATTTCCAGGCAGAATTCTAGATCACATTATAAAAGAGATGGAGTTTAAGCATCTAGAAAAGGAAGGTTGTTAGAACTAAAACCCAGCATGTTTCAGAATCAAGAACAAGTCATGCCAGCTTAACCTTTTCTTTCTTTTTTGACGGGGTAACTATTGATAGAGCGTGGACATTTTATAGATTTAGCATATCTAGATTTCAACAAAGATTTATCTTTGTGGACAAGATGGAGAGTTGTAAGCCTAGGTCATTCTATAGCAAGTTGGATTTGTCACTGTTCAGTGAGCAAACCTCAAAAGCAGTCATTATTATCTTAATATCAAGTTGAATGAGGTCTTTAGTGGGGATACACCTCCCCAACCCATCCCCCCACCCCTCGGGTTCTTGCTCTTGTGGATTTTTTTTTTTTAACCAATATCTTGGTGGCATACAACTGATATTTTGAAATGGGATTTGTATTTCTGGACTATGCCTTAAAACATAGAAATGACAAATTCCTATGCAGGGATGGAATGCATCTAACAAAGTTTAGTAAAAATATGTTTTTGATGACCTTCAAATCTAATCCAAAAAGTTATATGTTGAATTTATTATATTCTCAAAAGGATTTGCAATTTTGTGTACAATCCTTTTTTTCTCTCTACTTTGTATATGAAAATACTTTTTACTTGATTTTTAAGTTTGGAATTTTTTTTAAAAATGTTTAAAATTTTTAACCAAAAGAAATTTTAACTAAAAAAGGAAGAAAAGTACCTATATATTCATCAAACTAGATACTATGAAGTCTAGTTGGAGAGGAGAAAAGACAATAGTTGAGATATTCAGAAGTTCACCGGGGACCAAATCCAAGAAAAGAGCCGGCGGTAAAAGATTGTGGCCTCAAACGTTGATTCAGAAATGTACAAAGTATAGAAAACAAGCAAAATGAACTAGAAATCTCAACACAAAGAGGTCCTACCACTCACATGTAACTTCTTCTTAATGTAATAAAACCCCTGACTGGACTGTGGTTCAAAAGAAATATGATAGATAAAGAACAGTAGGAGATAGCGTTGTATAGTGAGAAGATACATACTTGTATGAGGAAATCCAGGAACCAGAGAGAGAAAGCATAGTGGAGAGTATTTGGGCACTGATCAGTGGAAGAAGAAACAGAAGATGACTTTGTCATTGTGTCATTTTACAGGCCACCTAGAGAGAGGAAACAAATGTGTGGGAGTCAGGAGACAGGTGGCAAGCCAGGCACTGAGGTTTAGTAGAGTAGTGAGGGAAACATCAATTATCTTGACATCTGCTGGAATTCTTTCTCTGCCAAAAAGGAGTGCAGCTAATAATTTCCTGGTTGTTCTTCAGTAATAATCTCATACTTCAAAACATGGAGGAACCAAAAAGAAAAAATTTTAACGTAGAGCTGATTCTTACCAAGAGTGAAGTGTCGCTTTCTGCAGTGAACATGCTGACAGCTGGGGATGGGGACAGAAATGATAGAGATGCTCTCCACTCAGGTTTGCGATAGAGAATAGAAGAAAAACTAGGCCTAGTCTGACATAATTTGAGGGAGCAGATTTCACGGGGTTCAGAGTGGGATAGGGAGGCTCCAGTAGATTAAAATTCTTCAGGTGAAGTTATTCAGAGAGAGAAGGGTAATTTTCAAGAATTAAATTCTTTCACGAGAAGTAAAGTATTGAGGGACAGTTACCTAAAGAGACTACCATGCACAGGGAACTCACCAGTCAACATAAATTTTTAAAAAGACCTGCCAAAGATGAAAAGCTAACAGGATAACAGCAAGAGCGTGGCGTGGTCCTGTAAGAACGTCTGCAGTTGATGGTTCAAGAAGACCTAAAACTGGAAAGGAGCACCAAAGACAAAAACGGTCAGGGTTCTCAGCTACACTGGAAGAGCCAAAAGAGGTGGATCAGTTAAAGGGTTGGACCTCTCCTCATGGTGAATAGCATAACAATAACTATGTCCTTATTTGCTTCTGATTCTATCTGGCAGAGGAAACAGAAGCAACTTTCCTCATACACACATATCTTCTCACTGTATGATACAGTCTCCTACCCCCTCTTTATCCTGTTTGTTTTGAATTGATTTTGCCCTTCTAGAGCCAAAGTCCAGTAGTGGATTTCTTTTCACCAAGAATCAGTTACATGTAACTGTTAGGACCTCTTTGTGTTAAGATTCCAGTTCATTTTGCTTGTTTCCTATAGTTTTGTGCATTTCTGGATCAACATTTGAGACCATAGGTTTTCCTACTAGTTCCTTTTTGGATCCTGTGATTTTTCTGAACGCTTTTTAATTGGAAAGCACAGGACAAAAGTGGCTGACCAAGTAGTTAACTAGGATAAGTGTGGAGGGAGTAAGAAAACACCTTGATGTGTTTATCAACTGGTCCAATGAATGGCACCCTCCAGTATGAAAACAATTGGCAGGTAGGGTTGCAGAACCACAATTTGGGAGATTGTTGAGAAAAGAAGACATACCACAGGAATAGAAGAGGGCAGTTTTTGTCCCAAGTTTCCCAAAATGGGGAGAAAAGGCTCTTTTTGAACTACGTGCCAATGAGCTTGAATTTAGTTCCTGGCAGAAATTCTAAAACCTTTTATTAAAAGGTGGCTACTGAACTTCTAGTAAAGAAAGGGAAGTGATGATCACAAAAAGTAGCCTGATTGCATCAAGAACAGTTGATTCCAAAACACTTTATTTTCTTTTTTGACAGGGTTACCCAACTAATAGATAAGGGAAATGCTCTAGATATAGCTTACCTAGACTTTAAAGCCAAGTGTTTACCAAAGTAACTTAAGAGTTTTCTTGTGGAAAACCTGGAGAGAAATGGACAAGATGATAATAAAATCAGCAGGATTCAGACATAGAGTCATGTTGAACATTCTTGGTGAAGATTTGCATCAAGGAATAGGCGACATGTTTGACATGACATTGCTGATGACGTAAAGCTGAGAAGCAAAGCTAACACTCTGCAGGACAGTCCAGAGCCAAAACGGTCCTGATGGGCTGAAACATCAGATTGAATCCAAGAAAAAAGGTGATATTCAGTAGGGATAAATGAAAATTACTTCATAATTATAAGATGGGGGAAGGATGGTTAGACAACGCTTCTGAAAAGGCTCTGGGGTTTTAGTGAACTGTAAGCTCAGTGTGAGTCAGTAGTGTGGTATCATAGCCAAAAGTCTTGGACTTCATTAAGAGATCTAACTTCCAGGAATAAAGAGGTGATAGTCCTCTGTACTCTGCCCTGTAGAATTATATCTGTAGTACTATGTTCGTTTCTGGGACCATTTGAAGAAGGACGTGGTATGCCTGTGTTCAGACTCCACAGGTTGGCATTTAAAGCCCATCACCATCTGTCACCAGACCACCTTTCCTTGCTTATATCATATTACTCTTTGTTACAGCCTTCCTGGCCTGCTTGCTGTTACCCAGAATAGGTGTTCTACTCCAGTGTATACTTTTGTGAAGGCTTTCCTCCTAGAATTCATTCACTTGATTAATTAGTCAACATTTCTGTTAAGCTCCTGCTATGTGCCAGGCACTGGGCTGGGTGCTAATGATCCAAAGACAAAAAACATGACATTGCTCCTGCCCTTGAGAAACTTGAGTTCTTTGATGGGAAATAACATGTATACATATGAATATATATAAAATAAATAAAAATGTAATTTGGTGAACTAATAATTTGAGGACTAATAACCAATAGGAATACAGAAGACCTCATTTTGATGGTGACCCTTGAGCTGAATGGAAGTTAAGAGTTATATACTAGTTTGCTTTTTAATTCCTGAAAAGAATTCTAGAACTTGTTATTAAAAGATAGTGATTATTAACCATGGCATTGTCACCTGAACTACTGATGTAACCTAAGGACCTCTGGGTGTTAATATTCCTTCTACCCCACCCTCACCCCAATACCCTTAGGACTTCTGAAATCATCCATCTACCTTGCAAATGAATTTTCTTTTTATGTGTTGCCTTATCCAATTCGAGTATGTACTCCTTAAGAGCAGATTTTTGCTTCTGACTCCAGCACGTAACACCGTGTTTGGCACATACTCGATTTAATAAATGCCTTTTCGTTCACTCATTTGTTCATTCATTGAAGGAAATCAGGGATTCTAACAATGACAATGAGGAGGACTGCATTCTAGACAGGGAGGTTGGCATACTGTAAATGCACAGAGGTAGGGAAAGGAATGCCTTGTCTGAGGAAGAACCAGAGGGTCAATCTGGCTGTACCAAAGAATGCATGAAGTAGGAGAATAAAGTATAATAAGTCTGGAAAGGTAGGTTGGAAACAGGTTGTGCATAACTTCAGATTCCATGCCAAGGATTTGTGTTTTGTTAGAAGTAATTGGGAACCACTAATTTCTTGAGCAGGAAAAGTGACATTGTCAGACCCATGCCTTAGAAATATCACTTCAGTAGGTATGTGGGAAATGGATTAGAGAGGAGATAGACACGTGAGGCGGGAAGACTAATTAGGAGACTGTTGCAGTAGTCCAGATAAGTGGTGCTAAGAATCTGAACCAAGATGGTGGTTGTGACAGTAGATTGAAGGGAATAGATGTGATAGATATGGTGGAGGTAGAATTGGCAACTGATTGGGTATGTGAGTTGACTGAGAGTCAAAAATAAAGGATGATTCTAAGGTTACACACATTTGGCTCAGCGAGTGACAGTTTCTGCAACTCAAATGGGAAAGTTGAGAAGTGAGTTATATTTGGAGGGAAAGATAATGAGTTGTTTTGGATATGTTGAGTTTACAATGTCTGTGAACATTCTGGCTTGACACGTCAGATATGGGGCAAGCACTGTAGAGAGACTCAAGCATTTGTAATGTAGGTCTGAGTGTCTTCTGCATAGAGGTAATGATTAGACTCATGGAAACCAGTTTGATCACCAAAAGAGAGAATGCAGAGACAGAAGAGGACCAGTGTATCTTTCTACTGCAGCATTCTTTTGCCATTACTTCAGCTGATGTCCTCTTTTCTTCCCCTGAGAGAGTATTTCCTGCTATATGTAGGAAAAAGCTTCCATTTGAAGGAAGAAGTGAGAAGTAGATGTCGTATTTTAACAACTACTACCTCTGAATACTGTTATTACAAGCTGCAGGTAAAGGTAGTTGCAGCTCACATTCAAATACAATCCCAATGGAAGATTGACCTGGAAGATAAGGTAGGGAGATATGGAAGAAAGTTCTTTGTGTCTTCATGCAATTTTCTCTTGCTCAGTAGCTGGCATACTGTTGTTGTCTTAAAAGATGAGAGTGTTGCCATTTGTTTAGAAATTGATAACTGGGCAATTTACTGATTAAATTCTTAACTTAAAGATAATTTGGACCCTGGCCCAGGCTCCTAAAGATGGTTTAGACTTTCTTTTATGGTAAGCAGATAATTTTTATAACCTCATAAAAAACATTTGGTGCCTAAAGGTTTTTAAACTTTTTTAATTCCTTTAAATTTTGTGAAAATACACTGTTTCTTGTAGAAAAATTTGCTTTAAATGAAAATTAGGCAACCTTAAAAATGAAATTTAAGTTCTAAACTCTATAATGTTTCCCCATTCATAAGTATTAAATAAGAAGCTAAAGATCCTTTTGAGCCTTTGTCTGACTCTTCCCACTTTAAAAAATGAAACATTTTTTTTCTTTTACATAGGATGAATCAACCTAACACTTATTTGGGAATAAAATAGAAAGTGTATTCAGGGTGTTTATATCTTAGTATTGCATTTTTTCAAAAAAGATCACTGTACTCCTGTCATATAGGTAGATTTACTACTGGGTTGGAATGAATTATTCAAGAGAAACACAATTATATAGTAGGTCCTAAAAATCTTAGTTCATCTTTAAACTTTAATAGCTTTTCTAAAAAGAAAATCAAAAACTGGATTTGCTTTCTTTTATAGACCCATCTTACCAGGTTCTCCACTTATATTTAATATCCTTGAAAGGAAAAAAGAGTCCTAACAAAGAATCCTTTGTCTTGTTTATTTGTGTTTTTACAGTGTTAAAACTGGGTCCTGAAGCATTCAAATTTGATGGTGGTGCAGAGGCCGTAGCTGTGCGGCAGAATGAAAAGTATTACATTCTCCGCCCAGAAGTAATTGAAACTTACTGGTACATGTGGAGGTTCACTCATGACCCCAAATACAGGCAGTGGGGCTGGGAGGCAACTGAGGTAAGTGAAAAGTCCCTTTAGCTTAGGGGAGTAAGGAAGAAGTGAAGCCCTCCCACAGTAAGCTTTTACTTCATGTTCTTCTTTGAGCGTCTAAAGACCTGTTTTCATTTAAAGATAAAGGAACTGATAGACCAGGGGGAGTAGAAGTGCTTCTTACAGAGATTCCTGTTAGCCTAGTTAGAGAAAGTTGTTGTAATAGATTCATACTTTTGGGAGGTGGCCAGCTGTAGCAGATTGATAGCAAGCAAGAGGAGGTGACAGGCCTCCCAGTGTGCATTTGCCTTAAGAAAGTGGCTGTCGAATTCTCATCTCCATTACCTATCCTGGTATCAAATTGTTGCAACTGACCCTTAACCATACGTCTTTGTTCTGCTCCAGTTCTGACTCTTTCTAGTTGTGCTTATAAGGATACCGCTTTGACCATCTCATCCCCTCAACTAAACAGTGGCATCTCCAGTACCAGCTCGGGCTAATTGCAGTCCAGTTATAGCCCCCTCTCTACTTAAGAGCCTCCCATCTCAAGTGTTCCATTTCTACCCAACCAAGGAAGTCTTGATCTATACCATGGAGCCACCTTAACAAAGAACCATGACAAGAGATACCGTGACATGCACTCTCTATCTGCTCTTGCTCTCTCTCTCTCTCTCTCCCTCCCTCCTCCCCCTCTCCCCCCTCTCTCCTCCCATTTAAAATATAAAATCTCTTATTTTGCATCACTGTCATTTCCAATACCCCTCCTCTGTCCCTTAGTAGCTGTCTGTCTTGTAAAAAAAATGAAGAAAAAAAAGTTTAGCAAAACCAATTAGCCAAGTCCAGTGCTACAAGTTTTATTCACGTTGTATATCCGCACTTCTGCAGTAAAGGGAGGGAGGTGCATTTCTTCACCTGTTTCCAGGACCAAACTTCTCGGTCGTTATTAAATAACACAACAGTTTTGTTTGTTTTGTTCTTTTTCCTTGTGTCTGTGGTTCTCCTAGTTCTAGTCACTTCCTCCTGCAACAGTTCAAATGAATCTTTCTATTTTATCCTTGAGTTCTTTACATTCATGCACCGTAGTTTGTTTATGTTTTCAATCAGTTCTCATCTGCTTTGTTTCTAGTTCTTTGCTATCATGAAAACTGCTGTTTTGCATAATTTAGTATATATAAACACCTTCCCACCCCTCAGCCCCCAGGTTTGAGCTCCTTGAGTTACATGTCTTGCAGTAGGATCCCTGGATCAAATATGGACAGTGTCATCATTTTTCATTTATCATAATTCCAAATTGCTTTCCAGAATGGTTGAACTTCCTGGCTCCAACACCAGTGTATTAATGTGTGTGTGATTTCATAGCCCCTCTATCTGATCCCCTGATGATTCTCGTCTTCTGACATTTTTGCCAGTTTGCCGAGTATGAAATGTGTTTTTCTTATTATGATTTGCAAAAATTTTTAATTTCGTTCTTGCTTTTTTCAGTTCTTTTCAGAATTTTTTGTTCAGATCCTGCCACCATTTATTCACTGGGAAATGTCTCTTCATCGTACAGATTTGTGCTAATTCCACATATCTTTTTATCAAATCTCACATATCACACCCTTTTTGGAAACATTGGATGCAAAGATTTTTTTTTCTCAATTGACTTCTTCTCCTAAATGCGTTGATTTTGTTCATGCAAAAAGGTTTTCAATTTCTTGTGATAAAAATTACCTATTTGATCTTTTGTAATTGTCTCTATTCCTTTTTTGTTTAAGAACTCTCCCCAAAACCACCAACTATGAAAAGTCATAGACCTGATAACTCTCCTTTTTAATGATGTGACCTTTAATAGTCATGTTGTGTATATATTTTCATTATGTTATGGTGTGTAGTATAAGAGGTAGGTCTAAACCTAATTTAGTCTAACCTGCTTTCCAGCTGGCTGAGCGAAGCATGATCTGTAGTAGAAGTCAGGAAGGACATGGGTTTGAATCTCACTCTTAACAATGAATGACTGCTCATGTATATGACTAGGTATAAGCCTCCTTGAGCCGCAGTAAAATAAGGATACTACCACCTATAGTGCTTGCCTCAAATGGTTATTAAAAAGTCAACAGAGATAATATATGTAAAGGGCATTGCAAATCTTAAGTTAGTATTCTAAGTGTAGCTTTACTCCTGTAAAATACATTGCATTCAATTAGATCTATCATTTATTTAACTACTAAACTTGACTTTACTGGTATGCTTCTCCTTGTGGAATTAATATATTCCCAAAAGTTAAAAGCTCATGGATCTCCTTCCTCCTTTCTGTCTGTCTGCCTAAGACCTCAGGTTATCCATCATCCTAAAGATATGGTTACCTAGGCAACTAAATTGCTAGCATAGATAGTTCCCATTTTTTTATACATCTGATTTCTCTAAATACCTGTCTTTTTTCTAATGAATTCTCATTAAAATTGAAAGGATTTAATTAAATTGTGCCATTTCAAAGCTGCTTCTTACCAGAGTTGGTTTTTTTTTGTTTGTTTTGTTTTGTTTTGTTTTGTTTTTGTTTTTGATTTGGTTTTTTTTTGTTTGTTTGTTTTTTGTTTTTTTGGCAAGGCAGTTGGAGTTAAGTGACTTGCCCAGGGTCATACAGCTAGTAGGTGTCAAGTGTTTGGTCTGACACGGGATTTGAACTCAGGTCCTCCTGACTTCAGGGCTGGTGGTCTATCCGCTGCACCACCTAGCCCCCCCCCCCCCCGAAATGTTCTTAAAAGGTCCAAACTTCTTCCTCTGAACATTTTTAATATTATTTGAAACCGAATACAAGACTTTTTCAGAACAGGGCTTCCTTACACTGACTGTTCTCTGCCTCATAAAATTAGGAAAAAATTCAGAACTACTTAAGGAAGCCCTGTAAGTGAGTCATAATCAGTCTGTGGTTTATTTTAGAGTCATTTCTTGCAGTGAAACTTGAGTTCTTCATAGAGTCAAGCATCATAAAGTTGATAATGTGAATGGAATAGCAAAAATGTAGACCTGGGAAATAAAAGTCTCGAGGCCTCTTCTTTTTCAGTTTCTCTTTCATTGTGCTTTTTTTCCCCTCGTCTGCCAGAAAAGTCTAGCCAAGTCCCATTGAAGTCCTCTCTTCTCTCCCCCTTCCCCAAGATAATTCTTATTAAAGTTGAATTAGGGACAAAGTTACTTCAGTTCTTAGTCTTGATGCTAACCTTCCCTGCTTTGGGTTGGTACATGTTTGTATGTAAAATAAAGCTGATTATAAATCAACTTTCAGTGATTCAAAATTTGATAATTTCACACGATCGGGAATAAAGTTTATCTTGTGTTAAACCCATTTTTCATAAAAAAATTATAAATCATGAGATGAAGAGTATTCCCAGTAGGATCATTTCATCATGTTTTTCTTATCAGCACCAGTGGTGTGTTTTGGCTGTCTGTTCATTATCCCTTTTTTTCTTTCTGTGGACAGACTGTCTCTCTTCTGTATATTGGCTGGGTAAGTAGAGAGAAAGGAATATATTATGAAACATATTGTGGATATAAAAATAAAATTGCAACTGATAGATATCTAGATATAATTATCAGGTATATAGGATGAGTGACAATGAGACATAGGAGGAGATGGAGTGATGAATTATGTACAGATAAGGGAATTTTGGAGATATTAATATGAAATTAGAACATTTTGGGGTGATGATAACGTCAAGAGTATAACCATTCCTGTGTGTAGTCATAGTGAAGTAGAAGAAGCAGGTCATGGGACTTGAGTAGATTGTGGAACTGAGAAGTCAGCATTTGGGGGGTGGGGCGCTACTGTGGTTAAATGACTTGCCCAGGGTCACACAGTTAGTAAGTGTCAAGTGTTTGGTCTGAGGCCGGATTTGAACTCAGGTCCTCCTGACTTCAGAGCGGGTGCTCTATCTACTGCACCACCTAGCTGCCCCCAGAAGTCAGCATCTTTGAGAAGACATAAGTTCCTTAGTGTTAGAATAGGGATTGAGAAAGAGAGACGACAGTGGGCCAGGCACTGAACTCCTTGAGAATGAATAGCAAGGTATAACAGCCAACAGAATGGAAATTAGGTAGAATAAACCTCAAAGAAGAAAAGGTTGTTAAGTGTGATTGATGCTAGAGAGAGTGTCTAGAAATAGCAATGGGAAGGAAAGTGTATACAAGTTGATCTACTGGGACCATTGAAGAATACGAGACAAAATTCAACCAACACAAGAAAGGATGGCCAGAAATGCACGTTCATATGAGGGAAGCCAGGTCACAATGAGTGCAAGAAGATGGGAGTATATGAGAAATAGTTCTGAAACAAAATTTGTTGATTGTAGAGTAAGAGTGTACTGTGGAAGGGACGGGCATATTTGACATGGGATTTGGGGGTCGGGGGAGGTTTGGGTTGTTCTGAATTAAATGAGGAAGCAGAGTCAAAGAGGGAGATTTTGTTCTTTGGCACTTGGATGCCACTGTTTAGGAAAAGAGTGAAAAGAAGGAAGGAGTATGTTAACTACCAGGGAATGAGTTCAGGTAAGGTTAATGGGTGAGAGGCATTCTGCTGATGAAAACAAGTAATTGGAAGGTTCAGGGGCTCATCTCATTGTCCATCTAGATAGTGCCTATCCAAGATACACATTGATAAAGTTACTGAGTGAACTGAGCTATCTAGTTGCATGTCATAATCAGGAAAGTGTTTTTCCTCTCTCGTTTGCTTGGCTAGTACTCTTCCCCCCCCCCCCCCCCCCGTGCGTAACAGTTTTTCTTTTTTTTTTCCAATTACATGTAAGGATAGTTTCCAACATTAATTTTTATAAGATTTTGAGTTCCAGATTTTTCTTTTTCCCTCCAAAAGACAGCAAGCAATCTGATATAGATTATACATATACAATCATGTACAATCCACATTAGTTATGTGCAAGAAGAGGGAAAAACCATGAGAAAGAAAAAACAAAGTGAAGTATCATGCTTCGATCTGCATTCAGACTCCATAGTTCTTTCTCTGGATGTGGATAACGTTTGCCATCGTGAGTCTCTTGGAATTGTCTTGGATCATTGTATTGCTGAGAAGAGCTAAGTCTTATTATCATAGTTGATCATCACATGATGTTGCTGTTACTGTGTACAATGTTGTGCTGGTTCTGCTCACTTCACTCAGCATCACTTCATGTAAAGCTAGGTTTTTCTGAAATCCTTGGCTAATACTCTTGGAGTGATTATGGATCTCATTTAGGAAACTCAGACTGGTATTTGCAAACAATAGCATCCAGAAAACTTTGTAATCTGTAGGGAATCCCCGTTTTGAACTGGAAGGAACACTTCCACGACTGTAGTGAATACCTGTGGCAGTCATGTCTCTAAATCATGCGGGAAAGTTATCTCTGTCATTGTATCTATTAAGGGATCTTATGTGATTTTAACTGTGTATATGTACAAGGAAACACTTCATCAAAAAGTGTTTTACGGTTGTGTTTTTTTCTAGTGATTTTAACCAAAAAACATTAAACAATGTGAATACATATATTCACTATGCCATCCCGTCATTTTTATTGCTGTGAAGATGTCACCTGTTATAAAGAAAACTTTTCTGATTCCATATTTTCATCATGAATACTCTCAATGTATTTTTCATCAGCTATTCTCATGAAGATTTTATAGAGAAAAGAAATATTTAATTTAGCTTTGAGTAATGTCTTCTTGGTCACCTTTTTATTTAACCAACATCATCCTTTTTTTTTTTTCCCCATTGTTTTATTGTCCTTCTCTCTTGAGATACCTTGAAAAGTCAAGCCCTCTGTGTCTACAAAGTTGTCACCTGCAGCAGAAATGTCTTCTGTTTGTACTTGGTCAGGCCTGACTTCTTTTTCTGATGTCATCTTCTTAAGTATCAGTTATGCTTCCTCATACATAAGGTACTAAGGTGTTAGAATTTAGCTATGGTCATTCCACTGTTATAATTTTGAGAATAAAGCACCATAGAAATGCTGCCATTTGTCTTTGTGTCTATTTCTTCTCATTTTCATCTGTAAATGTTCTTAGGATGATCTGGTTTCATCAGATCTTATGCCAAATTTTTTAGAGGTCCATTTCCTCTTTTACTGTTTTATTACTTATAATTTTCCATCATCTTCCTGTGTAGTGCTTTGTAGATGAGCTTGAACTCTACCCCATCATTTTCCCCAGAGGGAGGGAACATGTATCTATTAATTGTCTGCTATGTGATAGGCACTGTGCTAAGCCCCAGTGATACAAAGGAAGGCAAACAATTGTCCTTGCTCTCAGGGGGGAGACAACATGAAAACAGCTATGGATGAACAAGCTATAGAAGGGATAAATTGGAAATGTTCAGCAGAGGGAAGTAAGAAGGATTGGGAAAGGCTTCCTGTGAAAGGTGGGATTTTAGCTGGGATTTGAAAGAGGCTAGGGAAGCAAGGAGCTAGAGATGAGGAAGGAAAGCATTCTAGGCATGGGGGAACAGCCCTGGAAAACACTCAGAGTTGGGAGTTGGAGTGTCTTTTTTTGAGGAATAACAAGGAAGCCAGCGTCACTGGATTATCCACTATTTGTGGGTGGAAACGTAAAGTGTAAGGAGACTGGAGCGGGGTGGGGTAGGAGGGACAAGATTATGAAAGGCTTTCGATGTCACCCAGTGTATAAAAACAATGAGAGAGGAGCGCTTGGAACTTCAGAATCACCGGTTTATTATACAGTTGACAATCATTTTAATGTATTCATTAAAGTTCCTATGTGAATGAATGAAGCATCTATTAAATACTTACTTTGTGCAAAGCAGTGGGCTAAGCTCTGGAGATTCAAATAAAAAGTAAGACACACTCCTCAAGGCCTTCAACATTTTAATGAGAGACAATACCTTTGGAGAGTTTCAGCAGCAAGTTAGACGTATGGAAGCAATTGCAGTAGCCGTCAGTTGTTAGAATTAGTGAGATTTTACTCTGTTATTAGATGTGGAACAGCTCAAAACCACTGTGGAAAAGAAATCTCAAGTAAATGGGGTTGACCCTTCTACTTTGATTTTCAGAATAGAAAGGTAGAGAATTTCTTCTAAATGTTAAAAGGTTAAAGCAGATTACACTGTAAGGAAGGCACTTCAGTTAATGCTTTTCATTATGGAAATTCCATTTGATTAGAAATCCTGCTTTCAGTCATCAAATCTCTCAACATATTGTAGTTAGCTGAAGTTGTCCCCTCCAATTTTGAGTCTTAAGGAATTGTTTTGTTCTTTTTTCCCCTTTCATTTCTATCATAGGCTATTGAAAAGTATTGTCGAGTCAGAGGTGGATTTTCTGGGATCAAGGACGTCTATTCTTCTGCTCCTGCGTATGACGATGTACAGCAGAGCTTCTTCCTTGCGGAGACACTGAAGTAAGTAGAATTCCTTTTGTGTGATTCTGTTGTCAGGTAGCTTACTGAGCACTGTATTTATGATCCTTTTATCAAAATAATTCATCAGATTTGAAGACAGAATGCAGGTGGTGAGCCTGAAGTCTTCTTCTTTCTGCAACACCTAGCTACTCTGTGAAATACATTTAGATATGAGAAAGCCGAATCTCAGAGGTTAAATGACTTGCCCCTGGCTCCCTGGTAATTAGAACCAGGACTAGAACCCAGACTGCCAGACTCCAGAACTGTTTACCACTACATCATGCTGACTGTCTAAGAAGGTGCAATTTGGAGTTTGCCAAACATAAATCAAACTTAGTTTATTCATCTTTCAGTTTTGTCATTTAAAGTTCCTCTGAGTAATGCAATGTGACTGAAAATATTTATCCTGCACAGTAAAGCCAGAACGTCTGTACTCTTTCTTCCTTGTCTCAGTTTGAGCAGTGCTACTAATCATGGATTTTATCTACCTTGAAACCGTAGAGTTTGTAGTCAGTGCCCCTTGAGCCTTATTTAGTAAGTATTTGATCTAGGAGCACCAGAAGCCTACTAAGGTACCTGCGGCTCTGCAGAAGGTTCCATTAAAAACCAGATCTGTTCTGCCTTCAGAGAATGTACTTTGTAATGTTTTATCTGGTTTTGTTTTCATTCCTTTTGCGAAATTAACATGAGGTAATCTTTAATTTTGTCATGTACCACCAAAATATGTTATTTCAATCGTATATAGTTTAAAAAATAGCCACCCGAAAATTGCTTTATAATGGCTCTCCTTTTAGAATTTTGAATTTCACATGTGTTTTCATTGTATGTGATTGAGATACATGAAAAGAAAATAGATTTTGAAGTTTTCATCTGTTAGTAGCGTCATACCAAAATGCATCGCTATACTGCAGATTACTTCTGGTAAACTGAGTGCATTTCTATGTTTTGCATATACATTACCCAAAATAGGGTGTTGGTTTCCTCTGTATTGACATCCGGATGTGTCATTCAGCCTTTTTACTTAATTCTAATGGATGTGACTCCAATACTGCTTTTTTTTTTCCCTTTCATTTTCAGGTATTTGTATCTGCTCTTCTCCAGTGATGATCTTTTACCTTTAGACCACTGGGTGTTTAATACAGAAGCCCACCCTCTGCCTGTGTTACATTTAGCCAACACCACACTTTCAGGAAATCTTGATTTACAGTAAAAGCAGCTCAAGAGGAGAGACTTTACTCACCTGTGTTTTGTTTACATGAACCAATGCAGAAATTAGGCTGGAGAGGGGGACTCTTGGAAACCTGGGCCCCCGAGTCGGGATGTCAGGGTGAGAAATGACAAACTCCACTGGAAGCTCTGCAACCTATAGATAATTCACTTTGAAATTATTCCATTTTATACCTGACCAAAATATGCTCCACTGTTTGCAGGGCAGAGACCTCATGTGCTTTAAATCCTAATGAGAAGGTCATACGGGGGGAATGCCTATTTGTACTGTATTCATTAAGAATCCTGGAAGAAGGAGGACGGCCTCCTGAGAAGGAACAGAAACATGGAGCTCTGTGCTGCAAGTTACTGGTGGCCTTTGCAGCGAATTATGTGTTTGTTTCCTTCTGACATGGAATGGATCCTAAATACTTTATTTTTCCTCCCTCCTTCCCCTGTCTCTCCCCCCCCCCCCCCAATTTTGATTGGAAGGAACCATGAAACAAGAACAGTAAAACAGCCGAACTGCACCAGCAGCAACAGCCGCAGGATTTTAAACTGAAAGAAATACAATCCCTATCTTTCTGAATTATCAAGTCCCCATTCAGTGCCCAGCCTGGCAGCCATTTCGAGCACCCTATCTGTTTCATTAATACCCCTTGATTGAGTCGGGTTTTTTTTCTGGGACTTGAGTTCACCCAGGAAATACTTTTCCTGTCTTTGTCTTCATGTGGAACCATCGAATCTGCAGTATTTTTCATATTCACTACTTTTGAGAACCTAGGTTTGGGAATTTTGTGCATGTAGCTCAGACAAGTATTAGTAGCATGACAAAAAAAAGCTCTGTATTTCCTTGAAACCTGTTCTAAGAGAAAGTTTTGTCGTGTTTTGGGGGGAAGATTTTCCTCAAGCAGGAAATCCATCAGGTAAATCTCTTTAGCCTCCATGATAAACTCATACAGTCAGTCATTCACTTTTGACCATTGTAAATGGTTTTGTTCAAAATGCTCTTCTATAGCTCTGAGTTTCTCTTCATTGCCTTGATGAACTAAATTATTATTATTACAACTCAACCAACTTATGAAAGAATAAGACACCAAAACTTATTTGATACCCACCCCCACCTCTTAGCCCCTCTTTATGGACTTTCCCACCATAAATCAATTCAGCCTTCTCTGGAGACATTTATGGGATGCCAAAAAATTGTCAAAATAGTCTTCAACAATAAAGGTGTGGTGCAGATAAGCATATAACACATGCGATTTGAGATGTGTCTGTGGCATCTTCTCCTTTTGTTGATGGACGAAAGATTTTGCACTGATATTTATGTTGTTAGTCAGCCCTGTTTGTTTCTGAGAACAAATTTTATCCAGTAGCATGAAATAATGGAAGATAAATATTGTCATGGGATTACATATTTTCTGAATTTGAGTTATTTTATGTCACACTATAGACATAATTCTCTACCATATTATTTTACAAACATTTCCCATTAAGCATTCGAGAGATGAGGTTAGTGTCATTGATGTTTTGATATTACCTTTATTAGTAATTAGTTTTTGAAACTATCTGCTCAAGCCTATATTGGGATTTAAAACATTTTAATATATATATTTTTTCTTTTTAAACCTCCCTATTTAATATGTGGTGGATTTAAATGGGAAAAGATTCCAAGAAAATAACGTATATTTCAATTCTGCATTTTAATTCAATCTTGTATGATTACCTTCAATCATAGAGTGTCAATCCATAAAATATTGGATATATATTCTGTTAGGCAATTTTTTTTCAGTGTGCATTCAAGATTATATTGTGAATAAGATAAATTCAAGCCCTTATGTAAGAGTTAATTTTAGCACACTAAGTACTTCCACCAGATTCTGAAATCTTGCCTTTTTTTTTTTTTAAACTACTTGAAAATCAAGAAATATAATGAAGACCAAGTACTATTAGTGTAATTTATGTGCAGTTGTTTAAGAGTGATTTTAGAAGAGTGTGGGGAAAATATTTGGTTTTCCAAGAAAGTTATCCTTCCCCCTAAACGTATGGCAAATCCTGGACTGGATATGAAAACCAGCCTTGCCTAGATCCAAAGTGGATCAGCATGTGGGCAGTGACTGAACCCCCTGCTGTGAATGAGAGGTGATGTGCCTTTAGGCCTCACCAGTGACCCTCCCTAACTCCCTTTCCCCATCCCCTTAACGCCAGGAAGCTGAGCTTAGTGTAAGCATATATGAGGGGCCACAAAGATTTCAAAGAATAGGAGTCATAAACGTATTTTCATTTTTTCTCAGAATACCAAAGGCAATTAAACTCAATTACAAAGTGACTTGCCAGTTTCATGTTTTGCTTTGTTGTGAATTTGAAAATTGTTTCTTCAAACAAAAGTGTCTTGCTCCCAACCTTGGCTCACCAGTGACTTCCTGCTTTCTTCTTCGACACCCTACAGGACTCTTCCCGTGTATAACTTATTCTCTGGCTAAGCATCCTGGAATGGTCAGGGCCATCTGCCACTTTGCTGTGCAACCTTGAACAGGTCACCAAACCTCTCTGGGCCTACACTTCTTCCTCATTGAGCTACATGATCTCTGAGTTCTCCTGACTTTAAAATCCTGTCCTTTTGTCCTTGATGGGCAAAGATCAGTAGTCCTCCATGTACTGCCTCCTTAGAACCGAAACACTTCACATAGAGGTGTAAGCCTGTTCCAAGTATGTGTGTAACAGATGGTGCTATCAGTTGGGGCACAAAACAAACCAAAAAATAACTTGTCATGAAGGGAACCCATCTAGTCTTCAGTCTTTATGTTTTGCAGCCATTTCATTTTATTTTAAAAAGTCTTACTTTTGGATTTAGGTCGAAGGATTTTCTTGGACCCAGCCAGTCTGATATCATTAAAAACTAGGGGAATGCTTCTTGAGTGAAGTCTGAGAAAACAAAGGGCCATTGCATGAGGTGCTGTGTCCCCACTGGCCTGCATGTAGATGTGATTTTAGGTGCCTGTCGTCTGATTTGGGTAGTAGATCTTTTCACACAGAATGAAATAACTCATAGCATCTCAGAGGTAAAAGTAACCTCAGAAGTCATGTGGTCCAGTCCCTGTCTGAAGCCCGAATCTACCTTCATCCTATGTGCTACACAGAATGTGGGAGAGAGAAAGGGCCCTAAGTGAGCTACAGAGATCTGTGAGGGCTCAGAGCAGAGGAGAGGCCTTTCCTAGATAGTGGGCTCGACTCATTCTAACGCCTTGTGCTACTGTATCGTACTTCACCATGATCTCAGTGTTTTGTAATCCAGGATTCTTTCACTCCAGTGCCCACTGCCAGAGTCTTTGCAAAGTCATACCTGGATTTCTTTCATGGTTCTGCATAGTGATACATTGAACATTCTCTATGTTAAAGCTATTTCTGTCCTTTTAAATAGTTGTCGATATAAACAAACATTTCCCCATAATTAATTGAGATTTGTAGCTTGGAGAAAAAAAAGTTTATAATTTAAGAAAATATATCAACATTACCATACCCTGGTAATGATTATTATAATTTAAAGCTCATACTTAAAAATGTTTTTTAAAAATATTCATAATTTTTATTCAGATCATAGATGTGACTGAAAAAAATTCTTTATCATACTATTCCATGTTATTTATATAACCAATTTTCTTTAAAATTTTTTCTTTAAAAAAACTTATTCTGAGGGGCAGCTAGGTGGTGCAGTGGATAGAGCTCCTGCCTTGAAGTCAGGAGAACCTGAGTTCAAATCCAGCCTCAGACACTTGACATACTAGCTGTGTGACCCTGGGCAAATCACTTAACCCCGATTGCCTCAACCAAAAAAAAAAACAAAAACAAAACAAAAAACATATTCTGAGAAAAATATTTTAACTAGCCACTTATAATTATTGATAAATTGACAGTTAAAAGTGGTCTGTCTCTCCCCCCTCCACACACACACACACACACACACACACTATCACCACAAATTGAATTCTGTTACAATTGAATTGAATATATTTTTCAGATATTTTTAAGCCTCAGCTGGTAGCCAAAGAAGATGTGCTTCATTGACCTGGTTATAACTAAATTCTGTTAATAATTAATTAAGCATAACAAAAACATTTTTCCAGTAGTGTCCGTATGATAGTCATTTGTTGTAAAGAAAAAAATCATAAAAATATAAGCTGTTATATATTTATCAATTCATTTTGACAGGCCCCTCTCTAAAGTTTATCCATTATGAAATACCTGTCACATGTGACCATAAACTCTAGGCAGACAATAAGATGCCCATTAAAATACACTATAAAAGGCATTCATTATAGACTTGGGAGAAATGAAGAAGTCAGTCTGATACAAGTTATGACTTTTGACTATCTTCTGAGGTGAACAGTCTTTGTCCTTTGAGTGTGGGTTTTTAAGAAAGAGCCAAAAGCCTGGTTTCAGAGCCAAGTCTGGTTAAAAAGCTAGTTGATGAAACTGGCACTATTTTTGGCTACAGTAAGACAAGAAATTGTCTCAGAAGGCATTTCCAAAAGACAAGTTTCAGAAACGTGTTCAGCAGTAACTGCACCATTGGAATTAATGAGGGCATTGCCTCCCAAGGTGACTGCTCAAATATCACACACTCCTTTGGGTTTACAGATTAAGGTATGTTTGTTTGTTTAATACAATATCAGTTATAGTTGTTGTGGACTTGCTGAAAGGGGAAAGAATTTCCTTTCCTAACTTTTTATTACAGTTAGATTGCTACATTATTTTCCATTTTCTCTGGAGCAGACCCTGATTTTCTTGATTCCCTATGCTTCCTCCTCCCCTCAAATCTCGTGTCGTCAAATATGCCTACAGAAAGAGTTCCCTCAGCCTCAGAGGCCTGGAAATTCCTCACACAACATAACCCCCATATCTCTTTCTCAGTGATGCTGTGAATCACAGCTTTTGCTTCTTTGTGAAGAGCTAGAGGGATTTCGCATAGAAAAGGTTCACTTTCTCGGGGTTGATCTAGCCTCTTATGTTAAGGATCCAGGCAAAGATTAATAACTTGTCCATTCCTAATCCTCTGTCTTAGGCATCAGTCTGCTTCTTCCTAGGGGTTCCCTTACCCAGATCTGATTATCCTACATTCCTTTGTATAAGAAGTTTTTCTCAGTCATTTCAAATAAGAATTGTTTGATTTCTTCTTCAAATGGTTAATATCCTCTTACTTATGCTCATGTCTTGGAGTGGGAGAGATTTATGAGTGAAAATAGTATAGGAGAAACCCAAAACCTTATTTAATCTAATAGACAGTTACAACTATTTGCTAATGGAAGGATTAGTAATATAGCACTACTACGTAACATACCAATATTAACCTACTTCAAATAATACTGTATATTTGGATTCCCATAGAAGGTTGACATAATGGGATGTGATCCATGCTGTAATTCCTTTCTATAGAAATAGAACTTAAGCAAGTGAAGTATATTTATCAAACCAGTCACCAGACTCCCAGTGGAGATCTGGAAAGTTAAGAAATGGCTACTAGTCTATTTAAGTAATCTAAGGACAAATACCTTGATTTCTGGGATGAAGAGAGAATAATATATGATTCTTATCGGAGAAGCTTCATAAAAATGTCCTCAAAAAAAAGTAATCAAACTAAGTTAAATACTACAGAGAATGTTAGCTCTTCAATCCACAATTTCAAATAAGTAATTTTAACCTTTAGGTAACTGTCTTGTACTTCTATTTCCTTTGATTCTTTTGAGCATGGAAATAAAAGTTGTTTTAAATAAAATTTATAAGAAATACTTTAATCTTTAGTTATTCTCCATTTTAGTAGTTCCCAACCTGATCTACTCTAGAATGTACAGTCCTCTTTATAAAAAGAAACTATACATGACTGACTGCATAGGCATATGTGTGTGTGTCTGTGTGTGTGTGTGTGTCTGTGTGGACATAAGTATGTGGGGTTTTTAAGCTAACTACAGTCTGTGTTTGGCATACTGAACACTGAAGTATTGGTTTTGACTACACAGACTCCAAGCAGAGTATTTACAGTAACCAAATAGTGAGAGGAAGGCCTTTTGAATAAAAGTACATTTTCAAGGTGATTTTCCATTACCTCAGCTCATTCAGATCAGCAGGACAGAGATGATTCTGCTGAACTATAACAAGAGCCAGCTAAACATTTTTGTTAGAGTCACTGTGACACTTATTTAACACCTATGTTAATCATTGCTTCACCTAATTTGTACCTTTAAACAAAGGGATAACTGTGTATGTTTTGTCTAAAGTTACGCTTTGTGCTGTCTCCAGAATAGAATCCATTAATGTCTTATGGCTAGGTGTGGCTGCCCTTCAAGATGAGTGTGGGGATGGGGCCAGCTGCCATCTACCCCTTCTCCAAAGCTTTGCTTCCATGCTCATGCAGATGATCATATTGTCCTTTCCAGTGTGGTGTCGTGTTGATGCCACATATCTCAATCCTTCTTGATAAAAAAGGCTCTCCAGGGTGTCAGAATGTCCTTTCTTCTCTGAATTTACCCTGTTCCCCAGAGGAAGCCCACACTTTCAGACTTCCATACCCTGTGCACCCTTCTCAGAACTCAAGTACATGGGTCCCAGAGAACCTCCAGTGTTACAGACGAACAGATGCCTTATGGAAGGAAGAAAGGAGAAAAACTCATGGAAGAGAATAACATCCGTTCAGTTTTCTGTTGGTCAGCATATTGATATTTTGTGAGCTGCAAAGGTTGAGTTGGTCTCCATGTCCTTAGCAATAAGCCTGACTTTAAAAATTGCAGAGGAAATACTGTGTCTTAAATTTATTTAGTGGCTCCCTCTTTAGATACATCCTTCAAAAAGCTTCCCTCTTTTGTCTTCTCTCTCCACTTCCCTTCACTCCCATCAGCTTTTGTTTTGTTCATGCTCATCATTATCCAGTAATGTAGTCAGTGCAACAAGAGGTCCTTCCATTCTTATGTATTATATCTGCAATGTTTAAAATAAATCCATTTTTTAACTTGGTTTGGCTTCAATGATTATAGCATTCATTACACAATTATAGCCTGATTACCATATTGCTCAGATACACTTTTCTATGCACAGAATGTGTTCAAGATGATAAGTATGAGATCCAGCAAATGCTTTGCTAATAAAATTCCTTAAGTAAAAGTTTGTTTTCAGAGAGAGCAGGGTATTGCCATCCCCTTTCTGTTAATAAGCTGCTGTTTGGGGTCCTAATGGTCTACCTCTAGTCTCAGCCTGTGGGTGCTTAAGCACACACACTTTTGTGCAATGAATTTTGAACAGCTCTAAACTCGTCCAGACTTGGAGCTATAGAAGAAGCTC